CACACTTCGCACGATTCACGAGCATAACATGCAGACAACACACATGCAATTAAATGAAATTACGGACAGCAACATGGCGGGATCAAAAATATGAGTGATTTAAGGAAGCATGGGACAATTTGACTTTTCTGCAAGCATGTAGAAAAGGCAGAGAATGGCCAACCAAGTCATGAAATGGCGAATTTAGGATGTATCCGAAGTAGACAATTGCAGCTGGCCAGCATCCCGTCCTGACAATGTCTGCCATGCTGGGAGCGCCCTAAGTGGAGTACGGAAAGAGCCGGATGGTCAATGTTGAGATGAAGATTAATTAGCACAAATCTACAGTAGCAGCAACAAAGCAATTCTTCTTCTGCCATCTGCGAGGCCAATTCACGAAATCCTTCCACTCGCCTCTTCAAACCAACTGGAAGGCATAGCAACTTCATTCTGCATCGGTGCCTGTCTGGTGGAGATAAACTCGAGCCGATCAGGTTGAGTTCAACACCAGAAAAGCTATCATAAACGCGTCAGCAAGGCCCAAATGGATGGTGACAATTTTAACAAAAGACATTTTCCAATTTTGATGCAATCAAGACTCACGTAAATGGCATTCGCAGCTCTGTCTTCCAGCTCGGGTTGCAGCCCTCTGCCACAGGGCTGGTTAGGACCATATCTTGGAAGCGGACTTCGATGAATGGCCGTACGAGCTGTTAAGAAGAGCAAGGATAGTCAAAGTCTAAATTGGCGCATTGGCCCCAAAAAAGTATAAAGTCTCACACTTTACGAAGAGTAACTGAATTTCGATGCATCTCCTAAGAAAGCATGGTTAGGGAGACGTTTATTTTGCATTAAAGTCCATGTAATTAAATGAAATTACGGACATCAACATGGCGGGATCAAAAATATGAATGATTTACGAAAGGATGGAACAATTTGACTTTTCTGCAAGCAGGTAGGGAAGGCAGAGAATAGCCAACCAAGTCGTGAGATGGCAGAAAGACATGGTCGGTCTCACCAGAAGACGACGGCTGATTCCCGATGTCCTTCAGCCATTTGGCTTTAATATGGCGTCCATTTTGACGCAATCAACGAGCAACGTAATCAGGCCCTCGTTTTGGGTGAACAATGGCGGATCTTTCGCCCATCATATGATGCACATGATTAGAGCTGAAACTCATTCTTGCAAAAGTCTCCAATTAACAAAAAGTCAAGAAGACTGTCTGACTTTATCTTACTAAATAAAAGACAGTGGATGGACCTCGTTGTCGCAACTTGGTCTTGTCGTCAGGAGACTTAGTGAACGTTTTCGGCAGAACGTTTGTCGAAGGATTGACCTCACTTATCTCTTTGCGGGGAATGGCAGTACTCACTGATGATGCCAGCGAAACGTCTGAGAATGTAGCAAGTCCACTGTCAGATGCTGGGAATCATGACAACTACTTTGGCAGACGAATTCGGACTAGGTGCGTTTTACTAAGTCGCCATGGTAACAAGACCAAGTTGCGACAACGAGGTCAACCCACTTTTATAAATCGAAACGAGACTGCGACCATATCAGAGGCCATAAAATTTTAGTCTTCATATCTTCAATTAGAAATAGATAATTTATAGACATGAATAAATATTGAATGAATTGGCTAATTGTCGTTTACTTGAGTGTGTGTGTGTGTGTGTTTGCTAACGTTTATACGCAATGACAGTCCTAAGTCAGAGTGATCAAAGAAGGCTAATGTCAGGCATAATAAGCCAATAGAAAACCTTGACCGAGACTATGTAAATCAGTAGACAACTCTATTTGAAATGATGAGAGGTAAGCGTGTGAGTGTGCAAGTCATAGCCATTAGGTCTAGGGTTGTGAAAGTTTGATAATCCAATAAAAAGCATGAATGTGACTGTGTAATCTGGTACGTGTGATTTAGTTGATGAAATCGACCTTCGCATCTCTTCATCATGCACTTTCATACGAAATGAAAGTCTCCCCAACAACTTCATACTTGCGAAGAAAAGTTGGGTTTCGACAAAACTCTTGTTCCATAATTGTTGAGCTTACTTCCATTTCGAGTCAAAGTGTTGTCGATTGGCTCGACTGGAACATTCATTTTGACGCTGTTTCCGAGGCAATCTCACTCGATTTCGGTGAAAAGGTGCTAAGCTTTCTTCCGTCATGTGACGAACATCATCAGAGCGAGGTATCATCGTTACAACGAAATTCAAGCTGACGGGTCAAGAAAACTCATCGGCAAATCCCTAAAAAGCTTGAATTCGGTTGTTGGGATGATATCTTGCTCTGATGAAGGCATAGCAACTTCATTCTACATCAATGTCTGTCTGGTGGAGACCAACTCGAGCCGATCAGTTTGAGTTCAACACCAGAAAAGCTATCATAATCGCCTTCGATTCCGGTGGAAAGGTGTTAGGCCTTCGTTCATCATAGGATGCACATAATCAGATTAAGGTATCACCATCACAACCAAATTCAAGCTAGCAAGTCAAGAAAACTCACCGGCAAATCCCTAAAGAGCGGTATAAATATGCTATTTCTGGCCTGATTAGCTTGAATTCGGTTGTTGGGATGATACCTTGCTCTGATGATGTTCGTCAAATGACGAACAAAAGCTTAGCACTTTTTCACCGGAATCGAAGGATATCACCTCGGAAACAGCGTTGCTATGAATTTTCCGGTAGAACGAATCGACAGCCTGTCAAGAGGAATCTGCCGTCGTCTTCTGGTAGAATCGACCTTCGAATCTTATCACCTCAATTTTTCATTCGAAATGGAAGTAAGTTCAATAATATCATACCTTTTATGAGTTGAATTGACCCTATTTTGTTTAGGGTAACAAGAAGACTGGTAGTATAATTTTTTCCCACAATCATATGAGCAGACATTGAATTTCACATATCCTTGCTAATCCTAAAGATACTCTCATTCAGGCACAAGTTGACTGCGGTCTCGACCTCGCCTAAGCTGGTCTCGTCAGCACCCTCAGCGGGACTCGAACTATGACAATACAGCATGCAATCTCAATACGGCAACCACCACACAACATTGTCACAACTGCACTTGAGTCACAGGCCAGGTGTGGACTTAAAACAAGGTCAGGCATTTCCCCATACCACTTTCTGTGGTGGGACTTTTGATGATAGAAGTTGTATTTGCTATAGCAATCGACTGTTATACTTATTTTTAATTTATAAGTAGGTTTCTGAGACTATATAAGGGGTATTCACGCAATTTCCTGTAGAGTGATAAGAGAACTGGTAGTTTAATTTTTCCTATTATGATAAAGATGACATTACGCTTGCATTTAATTTCACAAACCTGATTGGAGTTAATCCGTGGGACCTAGACAAAGTCGAAACTGCAGGCTACTCGTGCCTGGATGAGAATACCTTTAGTATAGCAAGGCCATGTGAGATTCAATGAAAACGTAAGATCTACTTATCTAATTATGGAAAAATTCATTTATTAGTCGTCTTGTCAGCTTAAATGGAATAGGATAAACATCCGTCATATATGCGATCCACTGGTAGTCTCAAAGACTCAATTTAATACGAAAAATCTCATACTTTTGAAGTTTTTTACCTTGCTTCCCCAATTTGGTCATATTAGCAGAAGTCCATAGTATGCATAATAATTTCCAGAGTCGAACCAGGCCATGCCATCCTGGTCTTAATAACTTCGTTCTCAAACTTTAGTTTATGTATTGTTCGCCCCTAATTTACTTGCAAGAGGGAACTCAGTCCAACTCATCGGACATGTTTAAAGTGATCTGGATTCATTCATCAAAATTAAAGGAATTGAGGCAGTAGTCTCACGTTACAATAAAGACGGCCAGAATATCTTGAAGTAATGGTTCTACCGGCTAGCCTAAAAATCTATCTATTTACAACTCCTTTTCTATATTTCCGTTTATTCGTAAGGAACGACTGGCGAAAGATCGTACACTTTCAAGAAATCCTGGGAATAATGAATGGGAAGTTTTCAGCCATCCAATCTATCTGTCACCTCGGCAATGCCATTTTGTCTGCGTAAATCCACTTTAGATGAACGTATCAGTAAAACTATTTTTGTGAATATTCTTCCTTTTTCCATTGGTTCTATTGTTCTGAAATTATACGTAATTGACTAATAAAATCATTTTAATTTGAAAAATAAATCGCAACGGCACAAAATTCCAAAATACAATACTTTGCAAATATCCGAAGCAAGGTAAATTCGACTTCCAGATGGTTTATTTCCGTTATTTACTTATATTAGTAAGAAGTATAATCTACTTTATAATATCGGTGACGACTAGCTCACTTATTATGTAACTACATGCACACCAATACAGCAACACTGCCCTGAAATATCTTGGACGAGGAATTACACTTTTAATCCTTAGATGAGCTTGTAACATTCAAACCCAATTTCCAAATGACACTAATTACAAATTCTCCCCTCATTTTTTAATTAAAAAGTTTTATAAATGGCCTAATTTATCTGCATAAAGTATCCAATATAGTATTCAAATTGAGTAATTGTGTAGTTTATGTAATTGTAGAAATTTAGCATCGAATCTAACTGCCAGCCAAAAGCTGTAAAAAGTAATAAATGAGCCTTACGATAAAAAGTTTGTCAAGACTGAATAATTGTAAATTATTTTTTCTCTCTTACATCGAGTTCCGGAGCAGAGGTGCTCTCTGTCGCTCCATCTACCATACGACGTTTTCGAGCTGGAACGTTGCTGGCGCTGTGCAGAGTTATTATAATGTAGAGACCGGTTTCCTTGACATTCTGCAAAGCTACACGTTTTCGGCCCCCTCGTACAGGACGTAAAGGCCGTCGTGCTTCACCCAAAGTGATCACAGTTGGCAAGAATGAGCTGAGGATTAAAGATTTTCACAATAAGTTAGTATCTAGTAGACGCGAGAGGTACATACTTAAATTAATTATTACTATAAACGGGTTGCAAGCAAAATAATTGTGCTATTATTCATAAGTTTTACCGGTTCTTAAGCTCATTAAGTCAAATGGGGAGAATGAGTCTCATCTAAAAGAATTTTGCTCTAAAGATATCTGAAATGAATTAAAACTTTTCCTGGTTCCAGACAATTAACAACTTGCATGTTGCCGTTAGACCAAATTTAGGACTGACGACTTATTGCCCAAAGGGTGTCATCAACTCGATAGGCTTTCCTGACTGCCTACGAAACTGAATTAGGCTACTTTCCAGCGTTTATTTTTATATCTGAGAAACATCGGTCATATACAGTCATTTACTCTGATCGGCAAACAGTTAGTCCTAATTAATGTCAAACTAAAACCTTTGCTTCATGACCGACATACTGAAGAAGCGCTATGATCATGCC